CGGGGTGAAGGAATTGTATGCCTTGGCGCGGGCGTTGGAGCGCGCGCGAGGGGCGATCGGGGTGGGCGGGGACGGGCGTGGACGCCGGGGGGGTGGGCAGGGGGACGGCGCGCGTTCGGACGGGTGAGGGAGGGCGTGGTGGGGTGGGGAAGGATTTTACATCACGGCGCGCGGGCGCCGGCGGTGAGCGCGTTTCTGATGCGGACGACGCGCGGGACGGAGTGGGCGCACAACATCACGGCCTCACCGGGGTATAAACGCTGGATCTTGCGAGTGAGATCCACGGCGTCGGCGTCGTGGACGTTTCGGAATAATACGTCGAGCCACCTCGACGCCGTCACGCTGTGCACGACGTGTAGCGAGGCAAAGGCGAGGAGGTCCTCGGGTAGGTTCGCGGGCGATGCGTTGGTCCCGATGACGACGCTCGTTTCGTTTTGGTGCATCGTTCGCACGACGTCCAGGAGCTCGTTGGCGAAACCCTTCCGCCCGCCGAGACTGAGAAACACTTCGGCGTCGTGCAGTAAGACGACTTTTCTGTTGTTTGGAGAAACCTTTGGTTTGCGAAACAAACTCAGTGCGACCTCACAGACGCCGTTCGCAAACACATCGTCGATCGCTGGATCCTTCAAATCGATAATGTGGAGCGTACCATCGATAATTTGATCCTCGAACGGAGACCCCGCGCTCGCGTTGACTGAACCATCATTGATGTTTTGGTGCACAAACGTCTTCAACATCGCAGCGCGATCCATGAGTAAGGGTCGGTCTTTGCAATAGTATTCCAACTCATCGTAGAACAATTGGAACGTCGAAGGCTTGTTATGAATCAAACGGAGAAGCCATTCATCTTCATTTTCTTCTTTGAGTCCGAGCAAAGATCTCAGATGTTGTCTCGTGAGAGAATCCCACGCAAAAAGCAAAGGCTTCACCGCGACCTTCCCGGTTCTTTCAGGGAACATGAGTGCGTTAACGTCTGGTATCCGTGACGTCCAATCGCCGTGCGACCACGGAGACGTGAAAACAGTGCTGTTCTTCACCCCAACCGACTCCGGGACTTCGGCGCATCGTTCCGTCTTGCGATCGAAACCGGTAAAATTGTGCACGGATGGGAAATTGTGACGAAACGTGGTGTCGTCGGCGTCGGTTGGAGCCGATGCAAACGCAAGCGCTGTCATCGGCTTCTCTAATGTCATAACTGCATCTTCGGCCGGCTCGGGTTGCAAGTCGGCGGCGGGCACGAGACACGACTCAGTCAGAACCCGTAAAGTGTGAGAAACTCCCGAGCCCGGTTTTCCGCACACGACGGCGCAGAACGACGAATGTAGATTCAAATATGCATCGAAATTTTCCGCCGAAGGTTCGGGTGGCGCGCTCCATGCCTGCTCCTTCGCGTTGTTCACGGGTTTGACGAATTTGAGTGTTCGTCCCAAGAACGCAAAGTTCTTCCGCAAAAAGTTCCCACCTGGATTGGGCTCCATCTTTAAGATGGTTCCTCGGTCCACCACCGTCGGTAGGTGCAACTCCGATGCGCATCGACTATTTCGCAAGTACGCTCGCACGACAGTGAGCGCGGCGCTCTTTGACTCGGTCAAGACACGCTTCGTCGACTTCGCGTCGTCCGCGTCGCCTTGAAACGAACTCGGCGACACCGATCGATCGCTCCCAATCCTCTCCAACGCATCGTACACGTTCTTCATCTTCAACGGCACCGCTTTCGTCTTCGCTTCGGCGTTCTCGTACGCCTCGATCCGGCGCGTCTTTTTCTCCGCTCGCTCCTTCGCCAACTCCCGATGCCTCGCCGAGCGCTCGTGCTGCATGACGTTATTCGCCAAATTCATCGCCCCCGACCCCTTAATCGTGATGCGACACAGCTCGCACCGCTCCGAGCACCCCTTCTCGCCATCCGTCTCTCGCCGCCGCCGCGGAAGCGTCGCCGCCGCCCGCAGCATCGCCCGTCTCGCCGCCACGCTCTCCCGATGCTCCTCGCTCTCCATGTGTCGACTCCACGCCAAGTAAAACGCCCCTTTATCCCTCGACGACAGCTCGTAATCATCGCACACCGAGCACTTACGCCAGAGCGCGTCCCCTTCGCTCGCGTCCTCCAATGGTCCCACCTCGCACGTCCGCGCGTGCGTCTCCAGCGCCCGCGCGCACGCCCCGTGCGTGTTCCCGAGGAACAAATCACCGCATCGTCCGCACTCGATCGCGTACTCCTCGTCCGCGCTCGCGGCCATCGCGCGCGACGCGCTGGAGTCAACGCATTGGCACATCGCGATGCGTCGTGCTTTTTGCCAATGGCCAAAACCCTACTCCTAAACCCTAAACAACGGCACACGACACACCGTTCCGGAACCACACAGGACGCGTGCCGACACCGTATCGTGGTGTTTTTAAAAGTATATACCTACACGTCGTCGTCACTCGCGTCCCGGCGGCGGCGGCGGCGACCTCGAACGGCGCCCGACACCGCGCGCGCGCGCGTGATGTCCGACGACGACGACGGCGACGACGACCGCGATGTGCTCGACGTCCGCGCCGCGGCGTCGGGCGCGTCGGCGTTCGAGCGCCTGCGAACGCGGGCGCGGACGAACCCGGCGCGACGGACGATCGAGGCGACGTGCGACGCGGTCGAGCGCTCGCTCGCGGCGCGCGGGACCGCCGTGAGCGCCCCGTCGCGATTCGCGGCGTCGTTCGGGGCGCTGGAGCTGGCGACGATGGAGGCGACGAGTGATGCGGGATCGAGGGAGGCGTTGCGGGCGGTGTGCGAATGCGCGCGGGCGTGCGCGAGCGACGCGGAGGATCGAGTGATCCGGGCGAAGGCGTCGAGGGTGATGGAGATCGTCCTGGCGTGTGGGAAGGCGTGCTCGGAGCGCGTGCCGCAGGCGATGCGGCACGTGTGCGGATTGTTGGGACGCGTCGCGGAGAGCGCGCGTTCGGGCGCGAGCGAACGAGAGGGAAAGCGCGCGGCGAAAGCGCTGTTGAATCTGACGATTGATAAGCGGCCAAAGGTGCGGAAGGCGGCGGTGGAGGCGTTGAGGGATGTCGTGAGATCAACTCGAGGGAGCGCGGAGGACGGTGTGCGGTTGGGTGAGACGTACGGGGAGCTATTTGCGCAGTTTGCGAGAGCCATCGGTGAGGCGCCGGAGAAAGCGGCGCGCGAGATGCAGGCGGCGCGAGGCGCGGCGGGAGCGAAAGAAGCTCGCGCTCGCGCGGAAGCAACGGCGACAGAGGCACTGTACATGCTCGGTGCCATGAAGTCTTTACTCCCGGAGCTCTCTGAGCCCGCGTGCGGGGCGTGCGCCGATGCGTGCGCCGGTTTGTTGGATTTGGATGAACCTCTGCTCACGCAGCACGCCACGGAGGCACTCACCGCTCTTGCCAACGCGTCACCGAGCGATGAAAACGACGGTGCGAACGCGGACACCCTCGGGGGCTTGTTACGACCGGTCGCTTCGGCGGCGACGGCCAATCTGAGCACCGCGCCAACGACGGTGATTTCCCTTGTGCGCCTGCTCGCTCGGACGCAGTGCAAACTTCACTCCGTGGACGCGCAAGAGTCCGCGAAGAACTTGCCCACTACGTTTCACTCGATCGTGAAGCTGTTCGCCACGCCTCACGAGGGTGTCGCGACGGAAGTCGCCGAGTCGTTGGTATTGCTCATTCGCTCATGCATTGATTCGGCTATGGTGCAGGACGGCATCAAGGCCATCGCTCAGGCTCGCGCATCGGGAAAATCGTCCGCGCCGAAACCGACAGTCATCATGTCGGTGGCATCGAGCATTGAAGCCGCACTCGGTTTCCGTTATCGCGGCTCCTGGCCCGTGACCATCCCCGTGGCGACGGTGGCGTTCACCCGCCTTGGGCCGGCATCCGGACCGATCCTCGCGGGTACGCTCAACGCGCTCGGCGAGATGGGCGAGCACGCGAGCGAGATGATGTGTAGGCAACAACTGCAAGACTGCATCACGGCTGCGATTCAGGCCATGGGCCCCGAGCAGGTGCTTCAGTCACTGCCGCTGAAGCTCGAGGAGGCCATCGACGCCGAGCTGTCGAACCGCACAGACGACGGCATGGATGTAGACGACGAGCAAGACGTTATGGATGCGGCAAGTCAAGAGACCGGACGTCTCTGGCTTGTTCCACTCCTCCGAGCCGGTTTGGTCGGGGCGAACATGTCCTTCTTTGCGGATGCCATTTTGCCGCAGGCCCGCGCGCTCGGCGCGCGAGCAGAGCGCGCAAGAGAAGCCAAGCACGCGTACGAGGCGCAGCGTTGCGGTGCGGCGGAGCACGCGCTGTGGAGTCTGTTCCCAGCGTTCGCTAACTGGCCGAGCGATGCCGCCGAGGCGTTCCCAGCGGTCGCAAAAGACTTGGGGAACGCTCTGAGCTCAAGAATCGATTTACAAGTCATCATATGCGAGGGATTGAAGCGTTTGATTCGTCAAGGTCGAATCGGTGCCGGTGTGTACGAAGTCGATGACGACGATGATGCGGACGACGGTGCTTCGACGATAGCCGCGGGTGAGCCGAACGATGATCGCATGCCAGCCACGTTCACGGTGGACGTCGCCGAGGCGCAGCTCGCAGCCGTGGGGAAGTACTCGCGAAATTTCTTGCCCATTCTCTTCAACCTTTTCGTCGCCTCACCAACGTCTCGACGAGGCGAGCTGTCGCACACCATCGGTGCTTTCGCCAAAGTCACAGATCAAGCGCAGCTTGGCGGATTCTTCCGCACCGTCTTGCGCAAGCTCGTGAAAGTGACGGCGGATGATCCTGGCGCTCCAGATGCGTTGATTGAGGGTGGCGACGACAAGACGGCAAGACGGTGCACTTTCATGGACCTCGTCTTCGCCATGGTAGCCGGTTTAGATGAACAGGGATTAGAGATGGTCTACAAGATTGCCAAGCCGGCGTGCTTAGAAAAGGAGAGCGTGATTCAAAAGCGCGCGTACAAGTTGCTGAATGAACTCTGCGAGGCACAAGACGGGAAATGGCTTCGGGAGCGCGCGGACGAGGTCGAGGAGCTTCTCATCTCCGGAGTCGAATCGTGCTTGCCCTCAGCGCGACGCTATCGCTTGAAGGTTATCGGTAGAATTTTACCCGCGCTTCAAGAGCGAGACTCGACGGCGGACGAGGAAGATGGTGGCGATGGCTCTGGAAACATCGTCGGTGCCGGATCGCTCACCGTGCTGCTCTCCGAGCTCATCCTTGCCACAAAAGAGGCGAATGCGCGCACGCGCACGCTCGCGTATCAGCTGTTGATCAGCATTCCTCGCTCGATCGAACGGAAGAACGCGGAGGCGGCAAGAGGTACGCAGCGCTCAGGTGACGCCGGCGTCGCCGCCTGGCTCGGCGCCCCGAGCGTCGATGACGACGAGCACATGGAGACAGAGCAGATGGGTGCCGGCGTGAGGCGATTCTTCCTGACCGTCCTTGCCGGTATCGTCGGTTCTTCGCCGACGATGCAATCGGCGACGATAATGGCGCTCGCACGTTTGCTCTACGAATTCTCTTCCGCGCTCGTCTCCACGGTCCCGGAGCTGTTGCCTGCGGTGTGCGCGTTACTTGAAGGGAAGTCTCGCGAGGTGGTCAAGTCGTGCCTCGGTTTCGTGAAGGTAGTCGCCGTGCGTCTCCCGCAACAAGAGCTCGCCGCGGAGCTTCCGCGATTAGTACCCGCGCTCTTGCACTGGTCCCACGATTCGAAGAATCGTTTCAAGCTGAAGGTGCGAGTCTGTATGGAGCGCATGTGCAAGCGATGCGGCTACGATGTGGTTGAGGCGTGCGTGCCGAAAGAACACGCCGCGCTCATCGCTCACATCAAGCGCGAGGAAACGCGTTCAGAGAAGCGTAAGAAGTCCTCGGTCGCTGGGAGTGAACACGGCGCTAAGTCAACTCGCACCGCGAGGCGTTCTGAGTGGCGTGAAGACGACGTTTTCAGCGACGACGACATGGAGAGTGACGAAACGCGTTCACGCAGAACTGGTCGCAGCGGGGGACGTGACAACGCCTCGTTTGCCGCAAAGTCGCGACGGGGCGGTGGCGAGGGTCCTCGCTCGGCTAGGGACGCGGCATCGAAGCGCGCCACGGGTGGCGCGCGACTTCCGGCGACGGGAGACACTCCACTCGATCTCTTGGACGACAGCGCCATGCGCCGCTCGATGCTGCCGCAAGGCGAGCGTCGGCGCGTCAAGTTCGAAGACGATGATGATGATGGAAAATATCGATCCAACTCGGATGGAAAGCTCATGATTGTTGAGGAGAGTGAGGGTGCTAAACGTCGACGCGAGGAGGAAGAGGACGATGATGGTCGCTCTCGACGAACATCCAAAACGAGCCGTTCGCACGGCGGCGCAACCGTGCGCACCAACGCGACCAACAGAACGTCTGGAACGCAAAACTCCAGAGGGGTCAAGCGTCAACGAAACACGCTCGAGCGTCATAGCGCCGATCTCTATAAAGCGAAGGGGAAAACTACCGGCGATGTGTACTCCAAGCAGAGCAAGTTGGAGCCGTATGCGTACTGGCAGCTTGATCCCAAGCTTTTGAACCGACGCAACAGCAAAAAAGTTGCTGCTCGACAAAACCTGGGCGGCGTCGTCAAATCCGCAAAGGCGGCGGGTATCATGCGAGGGAAGAAAGCCAAGAGAACTCCAGCGTGAAATTTGTTGTAATCGAGATGGATGATTTACAAAGAGCACAGCATCCAGTTGTATGGCTGTGACGAATCGTTTACCGAAGCCAAAGCCTCACCAAACGTGGGCTCCCGTTCCTCGCCCTCGTCCGTACCATTTTGATTCGTAGGCACCGTCTCGGGAAATTCTCGTTTCAGCGCCTCGCCGTCTTCTTCGGTGGCTACTAAGAAGGACTCTAGCGAGTACAAATCGTCCATGTTCTCGCATGCTTCTCCGTCAAGAACAACCTTGTTCTTCACTTTCTCGATGAGCTCGCTCAGATCGAGCTCATCAATCGACGTGGCAAAGTGATTCACGTTGGTCGCTCCGACGAGTTTGCGGATCGCTTCCTCGTGCGCGTTCAGTTGTCCACGCTTCAACGCGGGCACGTCCTCTCCCGACCAGTGCAAAAAAACAAGCTTCGTGCGCCGAAAAGCCCCGCGACCGAATCCCATCCGCAACAGCCCGAAAAGAACTTCGTTCGACGGCAACGATGTTGACTTCATCTCCTCCAACGACCCACCGCCCGCGTTGACGACCTCATTTCCATTTGCGTCCGCTCTCAAGACGTACCAATTAAACGCGCCGTTTTCATTCCTGACGATGTTTGCCACCTCTCGAAAACTCATCTTTCGCTCAATCTCTCTGAGCGTCAATCTCCGTAACCGCTTCGACTCTCTCGCTCTCACTTCCTCTAACATCTTCCTCGCCTCCGCCACCTGTTCCTTCACATCCGCCTTCATCGTCGTGACTCGCTCCTGAAAGTCGCTCGGCGTCTGCCCCGCGCTCTCGTCTCTCGCGCACACCCGCGCGAGCTCCTCCACCACCGCGTCCGACGTCGCCTCATCGCTCGTCATCGTCGTCACGCTCATGGCTATCGGCGACAGGCGCTCCTCCACCATTTGTTTCATCGCGTTCGCGCGTCCTCGCCGCACCACCGGCGCAGAGTCTGGATTGTGATGAATCATCACGCTCTTGTATCGCGCGAACGTTCCCCTCCCGAGCCTCAATCGCACGACACCGTACAGGACGTTGTCCTCAACGAGATGGTGTCGCATCTCATCGACGCCGCCGACACCGCGGGCGAGGTACTTGAGCGACATTTCACGCGTCCGTGAATGGCGACAATTCTTAATTCTGTCAAGACACTGGACGCGCGCGCGGGGTCGAACGTGACGAAAGTCGCGGTGATTGACGCGGATCCGGGAGTGGTGTGCGATGCAATCAAATTAAAGTTATCGTGTCGTCGTCCGTCTCCCCGTCGGCCTCGCAACTGGCGACGTAGTCGCGCCAAGCCTTTTTTTTCTCGTCGTCCCAATTGAAGTGACTGGTGAGGAAATCTGTTTTGCGTTCGGTGTCCCACTTGTCGAGGATGACAGACTTGACGGCTTTCTTGACGGCTTTCTCGATTTCTTTGAACAACTCTTCGTTTTCTAAGTCAATCCGCTGCACAATTTTCTCGAATTCCTCGCCGTACGCGTCGAGCTCGAGGCACCTGTCGTGTCGGACGAGCTCTTCGCGCTCGGCGGGAGCGAGCCCCCGCGGATCCAAAAGCGTTGGTAACGGCACGCCCTTGTGACAAGGCGCACTTTTTTTCTCGTGCCAGGTCCGCACGAACTCAATATTCGCGTCCAGCGGCACGCTCTTTTCCGCTACGTGTTCCCGACCCTCAAAATCTTGAATGATGAAGAACAAGTATCGCGCGTTATACGCCGCGAGGAGCGCCGCCACTTCGTCGCGGGAAAGCTTTGCGTGGGACGTGATGTAATCGTCCGCGTCCATTTCGTCCCTTTCGACCATTTCGAGCACATCCTTCCCAACGAGACCGTCTTCCTTATGTTGCTCGAACAACTCTTCGTAGAAATCGTACGGAACCGCGTAGTGCGAGATCCGTCCCGGGCAGTACCGCCACGGTCCGTACGCCGCCCTATTCTCCCTCTCCACGCCAAACCGCGCGCACAGTTCGTGCCACGCCACCTCCGCCACCGCCGTGAACAGTCCGGCGTCGTGCAGCGTCTCGTGCGTCATCGCTCCCACCCACTGCGACGCGTCGCACTCGGCGATAAATTTCCCTTCCGCCACCGCAGCCGTCGCCGCCGTCCAGTCATCCTCGCGCGTGAAGATGCCGTACAGGAAGCGATTCCGCCTCGCCGCACCGCTCGCGTGCGCGCCACCGCGGTCGAGATCGGGGCGCGCGATTCGCGCCGCGTCGTCCATCGCGCCGTCCGGGACGGGCGTCGGCGTCGTCTCCCGCGCCGATGCGATGGTTGCGCGCGGCCGACCGCACGGTCATACCCCTAAAACTAGGGTATAGGGTATAGGGTTTAGGAAGGGAAAAGCACACAGTACATGCCGCGCGTCCGCGTCGCCCGGCGCGCGTCGCCGCGACGCATGCACCCCGCGCGCGGCGCGAGCGGTGTCGCGCGCCGATCGCCGCGTCCAGCGCACGGCACCCCCGCGTACGCGCGATGGGTCCACGAGCGAGGGACGCGACGCGCGCGCGCGTGCATCCTGTGGACCTCGCTCGCGCTGTGCGCGTTGTCGCTCATCCCTCGACGGGTGTACGCACCGATGATCGACGTGTTCGGCGATCGAGGGACGCTGTCCATCGGCGATCGGATCGAACGCGCGATCGCGGCGCGGGAGGCGGCGCAGGCGCGGGAGCGGGCGGCGCGGGAGGCGGCGCTCGAGGCGCGGGGACGGAGACGCAGAGGGTGGTTCGGGAGACGGGAAAAGGGCGCGAGCGCGGCGGACGCGGGGGGGGAGACGACGCGCGATGAGACCGGGGGCGACGCCGCGGCTGAGGTGGGGTCGGTGGTGAAGAAGACGCTGAGCGAACGGGAGATTTCATTGTTGGAGGCGCTCGAGACGCGGCTCACAAAGGTGAAGGAGGAACGGAATTCGATAATTTATCTCATGCGGAAGATTCGAGGAGAGGACGTGGACGACTCGAAAGATACGACGGCGCTCACGGATGAGGAGATCGAGACGCTGGCGAATCGCGTCAAGGAGCTTGATTCGCAAGCGGGGCTGTCTTCGAAATTCTTTGGGGTGGGTTGAGTGGTTCGCGGGGCGGTGTGTTTGAGTGCTTCAACTCTTTTTTACACGTACTACGTGTCGTGCCGTTAGTCACCACCGGCACTGGTGGTCTTTGTGAATACCTGTATTAATACTGTTACCCGTACACTTGTCGCGAATGCGCTCGGTTAGTGCGTGGTTCACATCCCGAAAGAAAGTCACGACACTTATTCGTTGTTGAATTGGTCGTCCTTGATAACGAGTTGCCAGCAACGCCTGGCGCTCGCTTCGATTTCAAATGCCACCTGTGCATCGAGCGCGCGAATAACGAACCGCATAGTTTCCTCTTCAAGAGACTCCGAGAAGGATGAACGGCTCACATAGGAGCCATCGCGACCGCGTTCATTCGACACGTTGAGCTGCAACTTCACACACGTTGTATCTTTGATCCATATAGAACTCACGTCCGTCCACGAAATGTACCACTCACACACCGATTTCGCCTTTGGAAGGTGTCCATCCATCTCTGGTGCGCTCACAGCCATCGCTCGGTTGTTCGTGAGGACCAAAATCAAGTTTCCAGCGATTTCGTGCATAGACACAAAGTGATCGTGCAGTCCAGGTGCGCGAGATAAGAATCCCGTCCCACTGGCGACTGTGCTCATGCGCATAATGTAAACACCGAAGGCGTCACGTTCATTGTACGGTCTTATGACTCCGTCCGATCTCACAGCGATGGGTAACCGACGAATTTTGACCTGAGACACTTTTTCCTGATGCACGAGTTCCCACGCGGCGGCTTGTACGTCTCGTGCTGTGTTTGCGACGCCCTCCACAGTCTTCGCGGCGAGTGAGATCGCTCCCGCTACAGGTTTAACGACCAAATTAGCGATACCTTTGCCGCACCCTTTGCCACATCCCACGATCCCTCCTTCTCTAGCGCCCTTGAAAGGGAGTACCACTAATCCAATCACGCCATTAAACACACCTTGGCTCAGACGTTTTAGCCCGATGTATACGCCGCCAGCAACGTTATTTCTCAGCTTTTTTCGCGTTTTCACTCGTGTGCCAACGAGAGATGACGGTAGCTTCTGCATCTTCTTCGTCTCGAGAACGCCAAAGCCGGTTTCAACGGCCTTTGCCGCTGCGTCTAATCCAGTGGAGACATTCGTGAGTGTTTGCATGGACGTCATGATTGAGAGCGTCTGTGCGACCATCTGTAACTTGATGTATTTCACGAATTCATTAACCAAGTTGGATCGAACGGTGTTCTCTTCGGATCTCTGAAACTTCTCCAGAGTCAACCGTAAGCCTTGCAAACTCGATAATGCAAGGAGGGAAATCACCCTCGCATCTGCGTCCTTTGGCCGTATATTTGAGTCCGGGTGGAACGTGACTACGAAAGTCAGCGCGTCTATACACAGTGAAACGATTTGAAGCTTTTCGTCTCGCTGCTTCCTTGGTCTGGACGTCACCACACCGGGCGCCCCCTGAGAATTTGACGCGTCGCTCAGCAGAAGTTGCGCTTTAAGAGAGGTGAAGAAATCCCAGAACGCCCAGATAAGCTCTTCTCCCCCGCGAACTATGATGCCCTCCCGGGGTGACATAAGGTTGAAACGGTGCACAATATTGTAGTCCGTATCCCCCTTGCTCATTGTCGCGACCACTTCCAAGAAGTTCCCGATCGACGGGTCATGCCACACGAAAACTGGATACATAGCTCCAGGCGCGCTGAAGTCAATCTGAAGTGCGCCAACAATGAGATGATTGTAGGTAGAACGACCCGCAAAGAGCGCAGATCCACGTGCCAACTTAATATGGTCGATCGATATGCGAATCAACTCGACAAAGGAATGGCGGACTCTATCGACTATCGTCAGAGAGCAAGCATCCAAACTCACGGATAGGTGCTGTTCTTTCCGTTTCATGAGTGCCGAGACTTCTTTTGTCTGTTTCATGAACTCCTTCGTGAAAGAAAAATTGTCGAACATGATGGTTTTATGTACGATGAAGATGGAAAACGTCTCGCCACGCCATTCGCCGAGAATCGTCGCGATTTCTCTCTGTTCCCCACGTGGTTCATACTCCAGTTCGCCGAGGTGAATGAAACCATGAAAGTTTGACTGGGATGTATCGATCTCAACGATGCATGAGGAGTCCGCGGACATCGACAGCTGTAAGAACTTGCGCCTTTTGAAAGCGACCATCGACTCGCCCTGAGCGGAATTTTGTCTTTTGTTGAATTTCATGGGGACGCCCGGCACGCTCCACCCCCACGACATAGAGGCGTAGGCGTGCAGAGCAAATGACTGACCCATGCCGACGTCGTTCGGTATTAGCGTCTTTGAAAGCTGACGCGTTGACATTCTTTTCAACGAAGCATTCCCCTCGAGTAATGAATGATTCTTCACTTGTCGAAGCATCAAAGGTTTGGGCAAGTGATTGTTCACCATGATTGGCGCAGTCTTTAATGATGCACCGTCGCCACCTTTGAAGAATATTCTGAAACAACCTTGCTCACTGCGTTCGACGGAGAATTGTATGATGAGAGGTCTGGCAAAGTTGACAGGGTCACCATCTTCATCTGCGTAAGGTAATATTCTGAAATGGGCGATGTCATCCACAGATGGTTCGACACTGCGTGGAATCGCCCAAAATGCACCAGAGTAGTGCACTAAGTTAACCAACGGCGAACTCCAAGATAAATTTTCTTCTCCAGATGAGATGTCGGCGATTTGAATCGATGTATCATTGAGTTTGGCCTCGACGCCGTCTATGTCCTTTGCCGAAGCGATGTCGAGTGAAAATGGTGTTGGATGTGAACTCGGTGTAAGTGTCGTGTATCCCATACCACTTGCGCGGATAGCCAATGGTACACGGGTCAAATTTACTGCTACGAGCATCGGCTGTACGATGACTTCCAAAGTTGGCCAAAAAGTTGATGTTTCTCTCCAAATATTTACTGAAACACTCAGCGCGATCTTGTTTCCAGAAGCCGTCGGGACCGTCATGATGACCGGTTTAGAGCGCGCCGATACCATGACGCGTACTGGTGTAGAATCAACGCAAAGTCCAAGAACGAACTCTTGAGCGTTCGTGCTTCCTTGTTGCTGCACGTGAGATTTCAGAAACATGGCTGGTAGCGTCGTCCCGGGTGGATTGTTCACATAATCTTCGTTTTTGTCGAGTATGGTACTCGTAACCCCAAACCAAGTGAGAGTTTTGATTTCAAGCGACGACGCGTTTGTGATCAGCAACATGTTGCTGTAATCCACGGTCAGAAGCTGTTCCGCGTCGTCGTCATCGGTGATTTCATTTCCACTCAGCTTCGTCCGCTTCGCGTCCAACAATACCGGAGACGTTAAGTGTCTGTATCCCTTGACATCTAACCATAAAATTTGGAGATTTGGTGGGCTCCCTGCAGGACTCACATTGAGAAGCACCGATCGATCGTGACCGAAAGCATGATGTTCGGCAAACATTACCATGTGAAACTCGAGCTTCTTGCTAGAATCTATGGATGTAACGCGTCTGATTTCCAAGACATTCACATCATCGGCGAATACGTTTTCACCGTCAGCAAAAATGGTAATGCGAGACTTACAGTTCACCGCAGAGACAATGTGCACGGGAGCAATGATTCGAAGCTGTATGCCAGGAATATGCCCGAATGTACCCTCTCGAGCCTTGTCGCGCTCCTGTACCAATAATATAAAATAATCTTTGCCGTTCGAGTACTTGAATGCACGACCTTCTCTCTCCGACAAACGACCCACCTGAAGCGGATTATCGTCCTTGTACAAATCCTCCTGCTCACCAACTCTTCGTAAGAGGAGACCGTAATGATCGTTCCTTGAGACGGGAGGAAGGATGATCTTGTCATTCACCGCCAAATCACCACTCCACTCCTCCATCTGATCCTGTCTCATTGTATGTATAGAAGTACGATGTGAGAACGATTCAATAGTTTTCACCTTCATGATGTCACGAACCCACCGTCGACGGCGCGTGGAGCGAGCTTTACGCTTATTGGATCCAGGAGGGGGCGGCCACTTTGTCACCCAAGTTGCGCCGTACGCCCAACCGCTCGCGTCGACAAGTCCGCCTGCAGTGTCAAGACGCCAAGGCCCAGAGAACTTGTATCCCTTCGGAGGGTGCAGGTGTGGCCAGAAACGATGCGAAGCACGACCATTTCTGCGGGTTGTGTAACGTGAGTTAAAGACGACCGCATCCTTCGGTGTCGACCAACCTTTGAAGGGATAGTATCTCTCAGCCTCGAACAGCTCAAGACAAACTTCATCTAGTTCCTCGAGAGATTTGTCAAGCAATTTTGATGATGTACCAACATGAAGACCATGTTGAAGACGGCGCACCCTTGCGATGAGGTCGCTTTGTGTTTCGTTCTCAACGAACGTACGACTTAACAATCTCCCGTCCGTTCCGTCGAAAACCAGATCATGCGTGCTATGCTGGACAACATGGGATGTACCCAGACGAAGATGAAGGGTCTCGAACGGGCCGGTGGGTGAAAATGAAACAACGAGAACGGACTCCCCAGCTTGCAGCTCTGACCGGAAGCGTTCCACGAGTGTTATGGTATCAAACCAAATCTCTAGAGCACTTTCATCTTCCAGGCAGGGAATACATAAGTTTTGATTCAATTTACGCAGTGGCGGAACAGTGGCCATGATGACACCTTCATTTGTGCGACTGAGTTCTTCCTTGATAAACGTCCAACCACCCGCACCAACGTCGCCGTTCTGAATCAGTATAAAATCACCTCTTGCAATCTTTCTGAAACCTCTACTTGATTTCCATTCGACGCCCGGTGGTGTCGTCGCGATGTCTGTCAAAGCTTCTCGAACGCAGACAACGCATTCCGTTGACGGTTTTTCAATACTCTTAGTCACAATGTTTCCAATAGCGGCGTATCCAGCAGGGGCGATCGGTTTCCAAAACGATACGTCTTTGTTGTCACTAGTCCAAATATTTTCAAAATCAATCGGATATGCGGTCGGCGGTGTCTGATCTGAGTCGTATTCCAGAACCACTGCCATCAGAGCGCTTCGAGGTGCGTTGTGCCCCGACACGAGAATCGTCCCAAATGGAACGAGCTTGTAATCCTCTTCTGTCCTTTCCGAAAAGAATGGGTGCCTCAATTCGAGTTCCGTGTGAGAAGGCGCACGAGGATGCCAAGCACTGAGAGTCTTTATTGATTTCTGTTTGCCTCGAGTCCACCATATCTTCACGAGGTCATTCGTCCTGCAAACGACGAGAGCTGGCGTGTTGTGTGCGGTCCTCTTCTTTGCACGTGGACTTCTCAAAATAGATGCCGTCTCGGCAACCTCAGCAATCGGGGAAAGCGTCAAGCCTTCAACTGCGTGTGCGCGGATTCTGACCTGCACAGCTTTGTCGCCGCCGTCGTCGCATCGTATCCACAATCCAGTATCGTCCTCGCTCTGATTTCCTCGCAGATTCTCAGCTGGAATATTCACAGAGCCACTCACAGTCAACTTCTCGCCGTTCGAGCCGAAGTAAGATACCTCAGCCACTACTTTGATATCGTAATGGTGAACGTAATCGGAGTCCTTTTCCATACGATGCAGCGGATGAGGTATTCGCATCTTCACGGACCCAGTAAAGGTGTTCAAAGGCAATGGTTCGGTACGAAATTTCTTCAACTGCTCATCCCAAAGCTTCAATGTAAGTCGAGGATGAACGAGACATTTGAGCACATCTTCATTCTCTATCTCCAAGACGTCAACAATTAAGTGAGCGATGGAAAGGCGTTCATCGCCGACACGGTCAACTTCATCGATGACGTCCGTCCTCCCGCGTGTACGAATCGAGCTTTTAGATTGTAAAAGATTCCTTCTCGCTCGCGCTTCAACTTCCTCATTCTTGAATGACTGCGCTATATCCTGACCGTGAGGTATCTCGTCGACGTCGCCCGCCGGTGTCTGCACCCACAAAGAACGCCCGGTAGAGTTGATGATCACATTGTTTTGAACGGCTTTGTAAGAAGTCCCGAGCGCAATTTTCGAAATTTCTTCGTTTGGCAGTTTGAGTAGCCTCATAACATCCAAAACATCGACGATTGCCGCTTGACTGATGATGAACGCGCATTCATCTTTGCTTTGAATCTTCATCGTCCTGCTCGCTGCAGAGACTGTCTTTATATCATTTTTCGCGTCATCCAGTAGAAACGAGAAGTGCCAGGGAGAAATGATTGGTTCCAGATGTCCGTTTCGCCGATTTTTATGCATCAAAGATAAGGAGGCGTCTGTTGATAAAGTCAAATTTTTGGACTCCCTTGTGCACGTTGTCCGTATTCCTTCCAACTTGCACAAGTAGAAAAGCTGATTGTGAAGGACCCTTTCGAATGCCATACCGACTTGGATTAATGGTGCGTCGAATTTCAGCATCAATGTAGGTTGCTCTGAAGCCGTTGATGACTCTCGCATGTAGCCCACGTCGAAGCCAATATCGGGTGCCACTTCAGACCCATCTTCGAGCTCGCTGCTGATGAAATTCTGTGTGTGCGAGTTTGTGATCCAAAAGTGTGTAGGGGACGCAGCATGTTCGTCATCGACCCAGAAAGAATTGTACTTCGTCAACTGTCCATGTGTGATTCTGCTAACCAAATCCGCTCGTACGCACGCGATGGTATCAAATTCTGGATGTTCATCTTCGGTCGTGACAATAACTCCAACGCTGACGAAACCGTGTGGCGGCACCGGTTTCCAAATACACAATCGTTGAGAACCTCCGTATTTGCGCGGTGGAATGAGTTGCTCAAAAGAGTCTGGCGGCTGAAACAAGTCTCTATCTTCTGCAAACACGCGAGTGTGCAAAGGAGGGTTATCTCCCTTGGAAATGCAGTGTCCAGTTGAAACGTAACCCGTCGGTGGCACTGGTGCCCAAAATCCAATCGTTGAGTTCTTACTGCTGGCGATTCCTATTCGTTTGAAATCGACCACGGTCGCACAGGACGCGGACTGCAGTACGTCTATTTTGTTTTGCTTATGCTCGTCTCGTCTTCGCGATGTCACGGGAACACGTACCTGGAAACCAGTAGGAGATCGTATGTCGTACGCTACAGGCCGCCCACTCGTTGCCCACTCGCGCTTGTCTGTGCACACGAACCCATCCGCCGCGTTGTTCGTTTTCCACAGTGTCAACTTTGATACAGTGCTGTCTCCGAGCAAGGTGAAATCGACACGCGTAGACGTTTTACCTATGTTCGTGACTAGCTCTTGACGGATGCAACGAACAGTATCCAAAGATGGCTCTTCATTCTCAGAGGCCGTCGCTATAAGACCCAGACTAATAAAGCCCTTTGGAGCAATGGGTCGCCAGAAGCATGGCTGCGCACTCCCTTCGACCCTTTCAAATCGTTCAGGTAGAGCGCAAATAGCTGATGAATCACGAACCAGCCACACCGTATTCTCAGGAGCACCACGCTCAGATTTCACGACATCCGCAAGCATACCATAACCTGATGGCACGACAGGTCGCCAAATTGTAAACGCAGTGTTGCTAGAGTCTTGAGTCTGCATCAGAAGATCTCTCAAGTGTTGTTTCTCTGAGGTCGTAGATCCATTCCAAATGCAGGAATACACACCGCACTCAATGAGCAGTGCCATTGCAAATGAGCTCGCCAAGGTCTCGCACAGGCGCTTCAATATGTGTATTCTGTGGGGACTCAACTCAAGTTCCACGGGCGTCAAAGAACCCCTGCATTTTGAAATGCCGCCGCTCGATTCGAGTTGCAATGTCAAGCCCATTGGTCTTAACAACGGGGGAGTCATCGTGTCCTTCGTGCGAAGACGAAGAAGTTCACAAATAATATTCATGTTCAACCTCTCGTCTCGTTCAATGTGACTTGTGAGACCGAAAAGTATGTTTATCTGATTGGATCTGGCATTGTCACCGCCAACGACAAGATGCACGCAGGTTACATTTGCTTCGATTAGAATCGGTTTGTTTTTCCGCTTAATTCGATCACCCGTGTTGTCCCGTGCTTTATCCAGAGAAAATCTATCAGAACTTTGATCTTCGATGCGTTCAGCATCAGAATCTTTCTGCCTGTCGTGTTCTTCGCTCTCGTCAAAAAGAACGTCGGGACCTAGTTCATAGCGCGCTCCTGGTCCAAGTTTGATAAATCTTGACAGACTCGAGCGCGTACATTTGAAGACGACGTTTTCAAAATATAACGTGGCGTTGTGACCGATGATAATCCTCGCCATGGTTTTTCTCCTTGAACCATGAGAATGACAACGAATCAATTCTCCGTTTGCATCCATAAAATTGATTACCTGCCCACCTCCGTATAGTTTATATCGTCCTCCACTCTTGTGAGGGTCATCGGCGAGAAGTCTTGTGCTTCTACTCAGAATCAAATCCTCCTTCAAAGTGAGCGTTCGACCGTTGACACAGTTGACGTCTTTAGGAAGAATCGAGCTTGCCAAAAACACACCACCAAACTTCCTTGGGGCGAACGTTTGCACTGTGTCCAAAATGACAGATGGTCTCAGGATAAACTCAATGTGCTGCAGTGATGCGTTCAACTCCCTGCGATTGTCATCCTCTCGAAGAATCAGGCGAAGCAATGGCGCGTTCGGTGCACCAGCATACATGATATGCTGAACTTGATATTCCTTAGCCATGGGCGAATCATCGTCGATGCCAACCATTTTGACCATGACGTCCATCTCCATGCCCGATTGCCCATTGATATTCTTCAGGGCGGATAAGGTAACACCGATTATCTTAATCGTCGAGATCGGTCGCTGCTGCATCGGATACTTGTACACAGAAACCTGAGCTCCACTCAAACTGACGGAGGCTTGCATTGACGTCAGTGATAACGTATCAGACTGACTTTTTAATTTGAGTGGCTCCACTTTGCCCCAATCGATCGGATTCTTTACCTGAACGTTTCGCCTGATCCTAGCATCCTTGAAAGTTTTCAGAGCGTCGTGAATAGAGCGAAAGTCTCGTCCAGATATGTCCAGACAAATGGACTTTACCTGCATGTCGTTCTTCTCGTCCACTTCGTTTGTGATCGCACGGCCACTGTCAATCCTCTTTTGCGAACAAACTCGCAACGCGATTGGATTTCGAGTGATCTTTGAGCTCTGATTATCTGAAGCGACAACTGCCATCTCAAAGCCATGCACGCTCAATGACGTAGTTTGCCAAAAGGTGGTCAGACAGTCATCAAACTTTCTAGAGGAGAAGCTTCTACATATCTCGATATCTCCTAGAACGAACACCACTTGATCATCAGTGGCTCCTGCCTGGGCATGAAGAGGCATAACAATCCTTGGCGCGTCCACTTTGACAGACATTCGAACCTTGAGATTCTTGAAGCCTTCCCGGGGTCGGTTACAAGGGTGCACCCATTTTACGACGTGGTCGGGCCTTGCTGCTGTAATGAACGCAAAGAATGTGCCAACTTCTCGAAGTTCTGAAGTCGCAACGATGTTCAAACTCCCAAGCTCAAACTCAAGCGACTCATCCGCACCGTCTGCTGTTTCGCCCCTGTCATAAACTGTATTCTTCACTAGCAACGTCGCGCTTGATTCAGACGAAGGCTGAACATTCCATTTCTTTTCGCTCGCCATCTTTCCCGTCGCTAATTTCATACAACCAACGCTCACGACTGTTTCTCGCGTCGGTGGAGCTATGACAGTGCTCCAATAAGCGTCGCCAATACTAAGAACCGACACCGGGATATCTTCGCCACGCGTGTGATCGTAAAGTGCTGTTGCAGTCGCAGAAGAGACTGTCAATCGTATTTCGCGATTTATCTTCTTCATCAGTTCCCCAGCGACCATCACACGCGGCGCAATCTCGGGCATGATCCTGACCGGCACGAAACCCGGAGGACGAAACCTGAACCTCAGTGCAATCAAAGCCAGAAGAGTACTCCTGCGAACGCTTAAATCCACGGGCTCATCGAGATGCACGTCGACGAGTTTGTTCAGACCACAATAGTTGGGATCTTTGCCGTGGAGAATGTCGACCGCAACAGAAAGCGCTTTTTTCTTCGAACCAAAGCCACTTGTAACAGCGAGACATTCTCGACCGAGACCATCGCTTGAATAGTCATCACGCAAGGCAAATGATTCAGCACCGATCTGAATTTCCTTCGAAGTACTAGCTAAGCCAACGTCGCAACTCAATCGAGTCATGCAAAGACTCACCAGTGCACGCTCATCATTTTCGCTGGCAACCGAGTTTTTTTTCTCTTCTTCAGATGGATGCGCGATAAGAGGACATGAGAGGCGCACAGCCAACTTTTCAATACCAACGTTCACACGAATCTGAATCTTCTTCACCTTTGCTTGCTTTCCAGAGTCGACGAGGACAGCGATGTTCTCGCGGGCCAATCCGTTAATCACGCTATACCAGCGATCGTAAGCGTTTATTTTCTCATATGCCAATCCATTGGTAATGTCAAACGCCAATGTGACCACATCATCCGATGTGAGCGATCTTGTCACATCTTCCATGGAATTGAGCGCACCACCGACCGTGAGAATATAATCATGCATCGAGAGGTCGAAGCACAAATCTCTTCGTAACTTACTGGCCCCTTGACTCTCGCGAATGTCAAAAGAGATCACTCGACTCCTCAGCCCATCTGCAACTTTGACATCCAAAATGTATTCGCGACGCAGCGATATCTTCGCAGGTACCCAAGCGAGCTCGCCGTTCTCCCTGATCTGCAGAAGCGTGACATCTGTTTCACTCACGCTACGCGCGGGAAGCTCTGCTGTAGATATATTGATCTGTGAAGTGGGCGTCGACAACGACTTCTTCAACGCCCTGATTTTGAATACACGCATTGGCGAAAAATCAATGTCAAAAGACTGAACGCTTGAACTCAATGCCAGGTTTGGCGAGTCTAATTCCTGATTCAAACTTTGAAGGATCGTTGTAACTGAAACAGGTACAGTCAACAATGGCAGCAGAATTGACTCGCTGTTATCATCTACGGAAGACATCGCTTTCCAATCATCATCTATGAAGCCAATGCGGACTCCCGATGAATGCACCGAGAAGGCGTTGTGCTGATTTGCGATGGAGCGATCGACGCCGGCCGACGAGGGTGACATCGATTCGATGGATGTCTTGCCGAGATCCACGAGAATGTTGACACCCTCTCCTGCCAAGATAAGAACTGGATTCCCAATCCTTGCATCCAAACGAATCTTCGGTTTGATTTTCGCAACGTTCGTTTGCCTTTCAATTGAGCCTGCGTAGCTCCGATCCATCGCCACGTCTTGGTAAATGAATGAGCCGAGGATGTATGATGAAGTCACTTGATGCCTGACGGCCACCTGTCTCACCCTGTCTAAAGGCTCTCGCATGAAAATAGTTCGCGAGTTTACCACTCGTAGCTTCAAGCTCAAATCTTCCTGAGTCTCGACGTCGCCTTTGACCATCTGCACGTACACTGCGTTGGACTCGCATTTTGTATCGTCCCACAGTGAAGTACGCGAACTGTCGGTATCACGCGCTGACCTACTGTCCACGTTGGACTTCATTTCCATCAGCGTCCCCTCCGGGCTAAGCACTACTAAATTTCTAATTGAGCCTCGTTGCTCTGTTTTGCTTGGACCAGAAAGTTGGCCAAGCGTGATTTGCCTGATCCCGATTCGAAATATTTCACGCTCAACCGGCACACCTATGGACGTTCCCATTTCGGAAAGCTCATCATCCACAGCAATCACAATCAGATTCGCAATATCAACCAGCGAGGATACTTCGACAGCAGACGTGAGCGCGTTGTTTTCAAGCGCCACGCTCCGCTCCGACAGGCTCATGGTTCTCGCAAACTCATCTTGCCATTTATTTTCTTTCGTCTCTGGTGTAATTGTTCGCACTTTCTTTTGCTGAACAACCAAGTCTTTTGAGTCGCTCTTACGCACTGCGCATGTGATGCCTAGAATTGGTCTTGTCACCGCTTTCAGCACCATTCCAGTGTTTTTGACGCCTCCTTTACCTAGGCCTACGACTGTTTTCACCACGGCATTTCTGCCGAGACGCCGTTTACGTTCTTTCAAGACTGCCGCTGCTATTCCTCCCGATTTTCTGTACTCCAAGTGAGCCAATGTCCTAAAAGTCACGATGCACTGTAATGGAACGTGCTTCTCTAGTTCATCGATATCGGGATATTGACCTATCTTGAGTCTTGGTGGCCAGTGTTTGTTGCGCTGCTTACTGTCCGAGGCGTAGCACTCGGGCGGTGGTGGCGCACCCTTCAGGTAGTGCGCATACAAAGGAACGTAACGTTGGCGCACTTTGTTTGCGTGCACCATGGTCTCGACACTCGATTTGAAGTCTAATCCTCGTCGTTTGTGCAGTTTATTAATGTACATTTGAACCCCTTGCAGTGCAAATAGCCACCATTCTCTCGAATTCCCGCTAATGCCGACATGTGGTCGTATGTGTGCGTACGCGTAGCGTACGCGACTCACGCGAAGTTTTGAAAATATCCCGTAAAACACCTTGAGCTGCGTCGATCTCACACTGAGCTGGATAGAACTAATATTGGCTCGAATATCGTGCAATGCGGTCTCATTTGACTCTTCGTAACCGCGTCTCGTGTACAGGGCGGTTCCATGCATTGGACCGAACACGTAAGATTTTGGCACCGTGAGTGCAGCACTGTTTGGACCGAATTGAGAACCTCCGAAAGCCGCTGACATTTGATTCACAAAGAAAGCGTCGTTCATCCCGTTCCAGCCCCGCGGCAAGCCTGACGCGACCGATGGTGAATCAAAATCAGCGTATAATCCGATGTGTTCCAACTTTACCGCCTTCCGCAGTCTATCCGCGAAACCGGCGACTTGAAACACCGTTCTAAAATCTTCTCCCACGGTCAAGAGCGACATCCTTTCGAGCGTGAACCCTATTCCACACGGCACACACTTGTCCCCGTACGTTGCCTCGACCCTAACGTGCACGTTCGAAACCTCCACGACGACGTTTTGCGATGGCGACATCGATGAGAGCGCGATGCCGCTTTGCCGCTTTCTGATGTCCCAATTAATCCCCTTTCGATTGTCATCCTCGAGCGACTCCGCCTTTTCCATGGGGTGTGACTTCAACCAAGCCGCCTCCGCCGCCTCCGCCGCCCGCCGCGTCGCCTGCAGCGCCTTCTTCCCCAAGCGTTCCTCTCTTTCGCGCGCCGCCTCCTCCGTGTACGCTCTCTCCCCGCTCACATCGATCTCCCCGAGTACGTACACCCCGTCGAACGACACCTTCACCTCTTCCTTCCCCAATTTTCTCCACGGAATCCGCAATCGAAGCTCGTTCACGAATCCGTACCGCACGCGCACGCTCGGCTCGTCCAAAAGTTTCGTCAGCGCCGACGCCCGCACCCGCACCCTCCGAACGATCACGTCCCCGTTCAGCACCCCGACCCGGACGTCCTCGGGATCGACTCCCTCCAAGAACTCCCCCAAGCGCGCGTTCAGGACATCCGTGAGCTGCTTTTCGAACATGTCGCCGATGCAATCGAGCGTTAAAAAATCAAAATCAAATCGCCGCCAACCACCGCGCGCGACGCCCGCGCGTCCCGACCGCCCCGTCGACGCGCGACGCGCGCGCGAGGCCGACGCCCGCGCGCGCACGCGCGCCCGGCACCGACGTCGGCGGCGGCGGCGTCGCGCGCGTCGTCCGCGCGCGACGTGCATCGCGCACCGCACACAGTCTTCGTGATCGTCCAATACGAATGTATATCTCGTATTCGACGCACATCGAAGACCATGTGCGAGGGACGGTGTCGACACAGCCGTTGGAACGACGCGCCGGCGGCACATCGCCGCCTTCGCGCGCGCGCGCGATGCCGCTCCCGCCGCGCGCGATCGCCGCGCGCGGTGTCGCCGATTGGTTCCACTTCCACGGGCGCGCGCGCGGTCGGGGCGCGAACGAAGGGTCCGGAACGCGCGGTGGGCACGATTGGCGCGCGCGACGAGGGAATCTTCGTCGAGCGCGCGCGCGTCGAGGAGACGGGACGCGAACGAAGAGCGAGGGCGCGAATGGGTCGAGTCGGTCGTCGTCCTCGAGCGATGGTGGGTCGAAGAAGCTCGGAGGGGACGGTGGGTTCGGTGGTCTGTGGGACAAGGCGAAGGCGCTCACGAAGAACGTCACGGAGAAAGGGGCGGAGTGGGCGACGACGACGCAGAACGCGGTGACGAAACAGGTGAACGAAAAGGTGAAATTAATGCAGCCGCAGATGGAGGTGGCGGTGGATTACTTCGGACCGACGACGAGACAATTGAAGGAGCTGACGAAGCCGTTGGTGGAACCGGTGCGGAAGGAGTGGATGAACTTAAAGCCGGAGACGCGCAGGGTGATGAAGGGCGGATTCTGGGGCGCACTCTTCGGTAATATCGTCCTAGGTTGGCCCGCCCGTGCCGAGCGCAAACAGTTGAGGAGGAAGATTGAGGCCATGCAGCTCGAGCGAACGAAGATGCTCGTCGACGACTTTTCGCTTGAGCGGGAAGTCTTAGCACTCAACGCGGAAAACAGACGGCTCGAAAAGCGAACGCTTCGAGCAGAGATGGCGCTCAACGCGATTAAGCGTCGACTGGGTGAGTACGTCGTGGCACCGAAGGATGAGTCGAATTATTCGGATCCGAACCTGTCAGGAATCCTTCCAGGCGCTCCGTGGGCCAATGACTTGCTCGACTCCGTGGGCCAACGCATCAACAACCTGCCTGAGGCGCAAGCGAAGAAAGCTCATGGCGCGAAAACGACCGACGTCCCGGCTCCAAAGAAGGCCAATCCGGTGACGAGCTCGGTGGCGAGCCGCGGACCAGATGAATGATCCTCGCAACTGTTATAAATCCAATACACGTCACAATCCATATTACACTTTCACTTCGCCGTCGACGACGCCGCGCCCGCTTTCAGCGCGGCCAACGTCTCGACGCCTTCCTCATCTAAGTTCGACCGAGCGCTCTCGAGCGTGACGATCGCCAGTGCTCTAGCTTTCACCGGGAGCTCCGCGCCCCCCTCGAGTGAGACGGCGCATATTTCGCTCACCGCGCGAGGCGTCGATGTCTTCATCACCGCAGGTAGCATGTACCCCAAACTCTTCGAATTTGCTCCATCGCGTGCCTGAAAGTTTTCCCCATAGTACCAATTAAAAGCCTCCAAGACGCCACCGTCGCCCTTGGCCTCGTGAAGCGCGCGTTCGAGACGCGTCTCCAACCACCGCACCTTCGCTCGCTCGTACGCGAGCACCGCCTCCATCACCTCCGGGTGTCCCTTATACCCCACGTTCTGCCACGTGAGCGCTCGTCGTCAGTCATACGTCGCTTTCCGGCGGCGCGCTCGCGTCGTCGTCATCTCGCACCTGATCCCACGCTTCGCTCGCCCGCGCGTCCGCCTTGAGCGCGCGCGTCGTCTCCCCCGCCTCCAACGCCCTCACCCGCGCGCGCTCCACCCGCTCGTTCGCCTCATCCATCGACGTCAACTTTCCATCCGGTGCCGACGCCTTCACCTTCGCCCGCGACGCCGCCTCCTCGCATCGTCGTCGTCGAAGGTCTTCGAGCTCTCTCTGGTCCTCTCTCTTCTTCAACTTTCTCGCCTGTGCGTTCGATCACGACGTCTCGTCAGTCCCGTCTCGCGCGTCGTCGAGGGACGTCAACGTACCTTACGACTCGCGGCGTCGCGCGCGCACGTCACGCGGAGTTCCAACGCGCGCATCGCGCACTGACGCGCTCGAATGGGAAACTTTGACGGAAAAGCTAGGTCGCTAGGTTGGATACTACACGGCTACGACGCCCCACGCGTCGCTCGCCCGACGCCCGGAACGGCGCGGTTCGATCGAGCGCGATCACGACTCCGGTCGCGCGCGCTCGACGTAGGGTTTCATCGCTAACACGGCGTCTACGGAGGGAACGACGTACTCGGGACGCTTCCACGGGACGAGGACGAATCGACCGTACTTGTCGCGCGTGCCGGGTGAGATGGCGCCCTTACCCTTGTAGAAACCCTTCTTGGCCATCTTTGTCGTGAGGACGTTGAAGCCGACGCGACGGGCGCGACGAGCGAGGGCGACGGCGGTGGAGAAGACCATCGCGCGCGAGCGGCGGTGTGAGGCGACGAAGCGTATCTCTTGACTCTCGATTTACAACGGGCGTGTGTCGCTACCAATACGTGATTCGCTCATTCAGATTTTACCAATACGTGATTCGGCTCATTCAGATTTTCGGATGTTCGACTTCGAGACTCGCGTGTTTTCTGCGCTCGGCGATGCGCTCGGCGATGCGCTCGGCGGCGCGCTTCTGCGACTCCTTCTCCGCCCTGCCGAGCGGTTTCAACTTTTCGGGTGGTTTGCTGAGCGCCGAGTCTCGACCAGTAGCGTCGTCATCGACGTCCTTTTCAATGTTCATCGCCTCTGGTGTTTTCGTTTCTTTGGCACACTCCTGTCGGAATCTTCGAGCCATGTTCACCTGCTGCTGCCACGACCGATCGAGGTGGCCCTGGAAACTGAGCTGCGGGACGATGTACACCTGGTTTTTAAGCCTTCGCATGGCCTCCATGTCGATGGTGGAGCCGCCTCGCACGGCGTTGGTAAGATGCGTCGCTTGCGTCATGCGAAGAAGATAGAAATCGCTGCTACGCATGTCGCACGTCCCGTCCTCGATCATGCACGCCCCGCTCGCGACCACCGTGCACTCGCACGCCACCGGACAGTGGAATTTGACATTCTTTGGCGGGACTTGGTCGCGAACCTGCTGAATCGCTTCTTCCTCCAAAAAGTACGGTCTGTACCCTAATCTCACCGTGCTCCATGATTCGTCATTCATGAGGAAACGTCGCACCCCGTCCTCGTCGAAGTGCTGCTCGGGGGCGATCTGAATGGGCTCGCGCGTCATTGCGTCCTCCTCCAACACCGTGATTGTTTTGTATCGCTTCACCATCGCATCCGTGAAAGCGTGCACGTGCGACATCGACGCCTTGTGCCAGTGATCCTGCCACTCACGACCGTAGCACGGATCGACGTCGGAGCCGTGGACCATGGTCACTTTGTCTCGCCACTCCTCCGGAACCTTGACAATGTTGCACTTCATGCAGATGATGTACACGTGATCGCTCAGCGCCCCTAATCTCGCCGCGATCGTCGAAACCTTCGCGCACTTCCCCCCGCGCTCTTCATTGCACCCCAAAAACGGGGTGCTTCCAACATTGGCGGCGTACATGGCCTCTCTCGCCGTTTTCTTCTGAATCGCGCACGAGTACTGCTGCGGAGGCAAGCCGAGCGCGCGTTGCGCCGTCGTCGCCGCCGCGCCCACGCCCGCGCGCCGCGGCCCCCCCGCGCCCACGCTCTGCATCGCTCCACCCTCCCCTAACGACGCCATCGCATCCACACCCTCTCCCGATCCGAATCCACCGACGGTCGCCGCGCCCGCGAGGAGCGCGCACGCCGCGAGCGCGAGCGCCCCGCGCCCGATCCACCCCTGACCTCCGACCGCGCTCTCGCGCGCGCCCGGCGTCTCCACCAACCGCGCGCGTTCACCAACCCCCCGGTCCGCGTCTTCGCCGTCGCGCGCCATGTTCACGCGCGTCGACGCGCTCGACGTCGTCGCCAACACCAATCGCACGCGCGCGCCCACCGACCGACGTCACGGTCGCGTCGACGCCGCGCGCGGTTCCCTCTCTCGCGCGCGCGATCGATCTCGACCGCGCGCTCGCGATCGGTCGTCCGCGATCGATCGCGCGTCGTCGTCGACGCGCGTCGAGCTCCGTCGCGCGTCGCCGCGACGATGGTCGGCGTCCACGGCGTCGGGGGACAGGTCGCGCGTACACATCGCGTGGGAATATCTCTATTACGTGTCGTGTGTCCGATATATCTCTATACGACTCTCCGCACACCTCTCGGTACACACACATGTACGTATATATATATCGTCTAAACACCCACATTACGTGCCGTGTGTCCGATATATCTTTATATGGCTGTCCGCACACCTCTCCGTACACACACACGCGTATACACATATATAGCGTCTAAACACGCACACTACGTCTGTATCGCCCCACGCGCGCGCACGTGATCCGACCCACGCGACGGCGCCTCTACATGGCTCTGTTGTGCGCGTTATACGTGACGCCAACCCTCGTCCATCGCGCCGTCGCGTCGACGGCCGCGAGACCGACGCCCGCGCGGTCGCTCGCGCGCGCGCGTCGGCGCTCGCACCGCGCGCGCGCGCGTCGACGGCGATGCGCCCGGCGCGCGTCGACGCGGGCGGCGCGAGCGATGGGACGCGCGTGAGGGTTGGTGGCGCCGT